AATAAGCAACTGATACGATTTTTGTCTTTTATTCTGGAAATAATGTCCTCAGATAATAAATGTTAAATGGAACTTAAAATGAAAAGCAAACTGAAGTGGTTAGATAGAACCAAACAAGTTCATAGAAATAAAACATTTATACTATGAATGCATTTCAAGGTGGATCTTTAAAAATCACATTTCTGAGTTCCAAAGAAATGACAAGTCTTTTTTAAGAGTTACAGATGCTCTGAAACTCTTAAAGAAAAAGCTCTTTCTCTTTTTGCTAATAAATACAATATTGTCATTTATTATTTTAAAAAATCCTAACCCCATCTTGTTTTTCCTAATTTTTCTCAATTTCCATTTATCTACTTAAGGTAGCTTAACACGAGCAGCTAATTACATGGTCAGGCAACAGGGGTCATCTAACACAATCTCCTGTCACCCTGCCCACAGTCCAGAGGAGGCAAGATAAGGTACCTGCTGCGTTTTTCTCCAAAGAGGAGAAGAGCCTATAATCTCAGCTACTAGAGCACAGTTTTTAATAAAGCACTGACTGTTCGAGATAGAACATACGCCCTGAACACTGAACTCCGCATCTGCTCCTTCTTTATCAGCTATGTGACTTTAGGCAAGACACTTAACTTCCCCAACCTTAAATTCTCATTTGTACAACAGGCTCATAACATCTCACTGAATGGCTCTGAGAAGAACATGACATAACATATATGAAAGTGCCTTGTAGAGAGTAGTTTCTCATTAAATATTACATCGTTCTGGAAAGTTCATTCTTATACTGAGATGAGGTTTATGTTACTCTACTACTTTCAGGAGCTACACAGAATTAGTCTTATCTCTTTGTAACCTGTAACTGCCCTTTGAGCACCAGAAGACAAGGATAACTAAGGCAACGTGTTTTTTCAAATGCCAACTGTCACACTGCTTCCCACCAGATGGTTACAGTAATGACTTAGAAAAGATCAATGGTAACCTTCATTAGGAAAACTTATCGGGTCCCCAATCCAGTAAAGATTTACTAAGTGGATATAACGTGCCAGACACTATGCTACGGGCTAGAGACACAGTGTTTTTCCCTAGAAGTTTATAATCTGCTGAAACAGATGTATACTAATGATTGCACTATACAGCTATATGCTAATAATGAAGTTATATATAAATTGCTAAATGACTAAAAATGAAAACCACACAAAAGGCATCTGGGTGGGTTCTCCACACATGTAAATTTTTTTTAAAAACTCAGTCTTTTTATTTTATTTCATTTATTTGTCAGAGAGAGAGAGAGAGCACAAGCAGGGGGAGTGGTAGGCAGAGGGAGAAGCAGGCTCCCGGCTGAGCAAGACTAATGCAGGACTCAATCCCAGGACCCTGGGACCATGACCTGAGCCAAAGGCAGACGCTTAACCAAGGCCACCCAGGCATCCCTTAAAACTCAGTCTTGAGAACAGTCATTCATTCATTCACTCATTCAGCAAACATTTATTAAAGACCTCCTATGTACCAGATATTATACTAGGCACTGGGAATATAAAAGTGAATGTCAAGTGAGGGACCCATACTCTCAAGGAGTTTAGAAGCTACTTTATGATCATTCCAGTTCAATGGGATAATTTTTTTTTTTTTCAAAGATTTTTTATTTATTTATTTGACAGAGAGAGACACAGCGAGAGAGGGAACACAAGCAGGGGGAGTGGGAGAGGGAGAAGCAGGCTTCCCGCCGAGCAGGGATCCCAATGCGGGGCTCAATCCCAGGACCCCGGGATCATGACCTGAGCCGAAGGCAGACACTTAACGACTGAGCCACCCAGGTGCCCCGGGATAATTATTTTAAAGATCAACTTCAACTTTCTCACTTGCCACATGAATGAGTAACTATTTTGGGGGGTTATAGGATCTCAGGCTTCCTAAGTTGGATACCATTTAGTATACCCACCTCTTCTAAAGTTCTACAAACACATTTTTTAATTTTCTTTTAAGTTTGGGTGTTTTCTCCTTCCCATGCTCCAAAGCTAAGCATGTTGTGTGAATAATCTTCAGGATTTCAAACAGTTAGGACCAATGGCCAATGTCTGGGAATATGCCAGACACAGCAAAGCTATGTTTAGAAGGGCTAGAAGTAAAAAAATAAATTCAAGTTGGGTCAGGAAACAAAGAAGAGGTCAAAAGAGCACACCTGAGAGGCAGAGCTACTGAGGCGAGCTGCAGAGGTGAGGGGACTGTGTCTCCACCTCACACCAGCTCCCAACATTGTTTGCTACGTACAGTGTTCAGCTACTGAAGCTTTCACTGTAACAGTGTAGAAGGCTTGCAAAATGCTAGGCGAAATGGGGAAAATCCTTCTTCTTGGCTATTAACTTCCATAAGTGTTTCCAGGAGTAACAGATACAAATCAAGAGGGAAAGGTAGAGCACAGAATCCAAACTCTTCATGACAGTAATTCAACTTGGGGAAGAGGGTGTACTCACGACAGTGCAGTTGACCCTTGAACAATGCAGGGTTAGGAACACTGATTCCCGTGCAGGTGAAAATCTGCGTGTAACATTTGACTACCCCAAAAACCTAACTACCAGTAAATAGGCTGTTGCTGACCAGAAGCCTTACCAGTAACATAAATAGTTGGATTAACCCATGTTTCGTATGTTGTATGTATTACATACTGTACTCTTATAATAAAGTAACCCAGAGCAAAAATGTTAAGAAAATCATAAGGAACACAAAATACATTTATAGTACTATACAGTTATTATCAGAAAAATCCACATATGGGCGGGCCCATGCAGTTGGAACCCGTGTTGTTCAAGAGTCAGCCATCCTTCCTTTGTGTGTGTGGGTCCACCTCTACCGCACAGAGCACACTCAGAAAGCAGTCACATGTGCAAGAGCTGTATGACAAAATTACCAATGCTGCACTCCAGATAAATTCAAACGAGGACGGCAAACATGGCCGTTGGTTACTTGAAGGCTACTCTGGTGTGGCAGGAAGAGGCCGCCATGCCTCAACTCTGGCCGTAGTGACCGTTTTAGTGCCTGGAGGAGCACCAGGTGAGTGTGAAGGCTCCCTTTGTCCTTGAAGCCCTCGAACCCTGTCTGCTCCTGAAAGGACACACGTACTCTTCCACATGGCCACTGTCGCATTATCCATGGTAGTCAGTGGAAAGGGGAGTAAATTAACTCAACAGAATACTTTTCAAATCAATTGTTTTAATGCCTTTTCTCCCCTGGACCTGAACCTTTCAAGAAATGTTTATTTGTATTCATCTAATTTCATTCTAGATTCACTAGAGTGTACACCTAGAGACAGAGGACACGTGTGTCTTGTTCACACAGTGGGAATTCAATCCATCTGAGTGGAAAGGTGAATTAATGTATGGAGAGAAGGCAACAGCTCTTTCTGAAATGTGACTGTGAAGCCGGACAAGCACTTTGCTTGACTCATACCATACTCATGGTGCAGTGGAGCCGAGGATCCAGGTTTTCCACACCCTCTGCCTGATGGTTACGGCAACGCCATCTAACCAGACCTACATTAATCCAAACCTGAGAGAACTCCACATAAGCCCAGGTGGAAAACCACAGACACTGTCTGTTATGTTCAAGAGACTCCACATTTGTGGAAGAGCTTGAGGCACGATTATTATTGTCCGTTTGGTAGGAATATTAGGACATAGGAACATGTCAAACTGTGAGAAAAACAAGGAGAAGAGATAGAGGTCACATCCTTCCCCAGCTGAATAGCAAAATGGTGAAAGTATTGTGGGACTGATTTGTTAAATTCACTGAGTTCTCAGGACCCATTCCCCGCCAGTCACAGAGAGACAGAAGCTAACCATCTTGGCCTCTCCAGAAGTCCCAGTGTAGGTGGGAGAGAGACATGTGACTCAGCAGTAATGCTCGATACAGCAGCTCCTACCACCTCTGACTTTCCCTAGGGATAGCTGACCTCGGTGTACAAGGACAAATGGGAAGTATGAGATTCCAAGCTGAGAGAGCAGCACGAACAAAGGTCTGGAAGTCTGAGAGGACACAGCATACCCAGGGAATGACACAAAGTTCACTACGTCCAGGACAAAGACTTTCATCTTTCCAGTGGCTGCTGATGAAGCTAAAGATGTTGTCTGTGGCCCAGAGAATGAATGCAGCCTTCCAGACACTATGCAGAGAGGCACCCAGCACCCAGCAAGAGAGCTCCCTGACATAAGACATGAAAGCCCATCCGTTCTTGTTTCAGCCCCATCACCCGTCACTGCTTCTCTTTGACAATAGTTCACGTACTGTTTCTTTAAGACTTTCAATCACTAACATGAAACATCTATCCACCACTTATTTTCTTTATTTATGTTAAACTTGGAAGTCACAGGAAGAATCCCAGGGGGCTTGTATTCTTGTTGAAGAACTCCTCTGCCCTTCCCCTCTACCCAGTTTCCATGGATATATTTTCTTTCTCTTATGTTCAGTAACTCTATGAACCATATCAAAGAATTATTGAATGGTAAATGGAAACACTGACTGATTTGCATTAATATAAAAAATTGGGAACTTTCGTTTTTCTTCACTGAAAAAAATTTCAACTAAGAATCCATATTCAACAACAGCACTTAAGAGGAAATACCTCAGGGTAAAAAACAACTTGATATACGTAGGTGATTCTTTTTTAAATGACTGAATTACTCAGAGGCAACCTGGAGTGGAACATGAATGAATGTTACATTAAAACCTATAAGAGTCTGATAACATGTCTCCTTGATCCTGGGCTCGAACCTCCCCACCACCCAACTTCACCTTCCCTATCACAGATGTAAGCTACTTGACAAAAGAGGCTATTTCTTTCTCATTTTTTACACTTCCAGTATCATGTCTTATTTAGCACTCAATAAATGTTTGCTGAACTAAGGTAGAATATCCGAAAACTACAGCAAGTAAGGGTGGGTTATAACATCCAATGCTATGTGTGGACTGGCTCAATTAGATCAGCATAGTGGTCGTGTGACCCCTTAACTTACATAATCTCCATAGGTCTCTTGTGTTGGGGGTGGTGGCGGAGGTCTGTACCCAGTTGGGGGAACTCCTCTTGCTCTGGGAGTGAGAAGTCCTCTTCCCCGACTCACTGGCCCTCGGGCGGAAAGGACTCCCCTGGAAGCTGGCGTCCCTCGTGGTACACCAACTCCAACTGGCCGGGCTGTGACTCCTCCCCTTCCCCTGCAAGCAATAGGGGCAAGTTAGCGATAGTCACCATATTCTCTACCATTCCATGGTTCACATGCATTTATACCTCAGGAAAATCAACGTTCCATATTACTGTAAAAAGAAATAAGGAAACCATATGCAAAGTGAAAACTAAAGCAAATGAGAAACAACTACATACCAAAAGGAAGTTAAGTCATTTAAGCAGCTTATCCAGCAGTGATAAATACTGTAACATCAAAGAAACCCCAAGACTCAATTTCTGGCTAAGATACAGAGTAGGAAGCTTTGACATGTGGGAAGGCTGCATCTACTGAGGATTTCTCTGTGATGCCAGGCCAGGGTCACATCCAACCTTCATGCCTACACTATGAAGTGGGCTATATTCTGCTTGTCTATGGACAAGGAAACTGAGGCTAGAGAGATCTTCAAACTGAGAACACACCGCCAGCAAAGACCAAAGTATACATCAGAGTTCCGTGAAAGAGAAAATAAAACGTACCTTCCCAAATAATGTACTGAACACATAGTAATTTAAAATACCATTCTTAAGTTAAATAAACACAGGTATTTTCTGAAGTAGAACTCAACATATTTATGGATCTCTAACATAAAATATGAGATTTCAAGTCAGAGAGGAAGGAAGAAGGAAACTGTATAAAGAATAGCTCAACATAAGCAAAATCTTGAAAAAACGTGCAAGGCCTATGAAGAAATGAAGACAGAAAAATGAGGCTACACCACAGAATAAAGATTTGGCCTGATCCACCTCCCACAGACAACGTCCCCCAAATAAGGAGAACTGTCACAGATAATGTGGCTGCCTACATATCTCCTATCTCCTTCTTTAGTTTGATTGGGATAGCAAATACATAGCTAAAAACTTAACAGAGAAAATTAACAAAACCAAAAGCTGTTTCTTTGAAAGGATCAATAAAATTGATAAACCTCTAGAAATGCTAAACACACACAAAAAAATATCAGAAATGAAATTGAGGTCATCACTACTGACCTCAAGGGCATTAAAGCATAGTAAAGGAAGATTATGAACAACTCTAGGCCCACAGATTTGTTAACTTAGATGAACTGTACTAATTCCTTGAAATATACAAATGACCAAATCCCACAAATGGGGAATTAAGTAATCTGAAAAAAGTTATGTCTATTAAAGAACTTCAATGAAAAAGTAATAACCTTTCAAAAAAGAAAGCACCAGGGTACCTGGGTGGCTCAGTCAGTTAAGTATCTGACTCTTGATTCTGGCTCAGGTTATGATCTCAGGGTTTTGAGATCAAGCTCCACATCAGGATCTGCACTGGGTGTGGAGCCTGCTTAAGGTTCTCCCTCTCACTCTGCCCTTCCCCATCCCTCTATTTAAACAAAACAAAACAAAGCAAAACAAAAAGCACCAAGCCCAGATGATTTCACTGCTGAATTCTTTCATATATTAGTCTAGGGGAGATGCCAAGGGACTGGCCTAGCTGATATGTGACCTCCCCATGAAGAGACATGTCATCCAAAGGGGAAAAAGGATGAGGCCTCCTAATAACCAAAACCATTAAAGACATTATGAAATGAAAAAAACAAAAACTATAAATCCATATCTTTTCAAGAACAAAGGTGCACAATTCCTCAAAAATAGTGGCAAATTAAATCCAACGATATATTAAAAAGTTATATACCATGAACACGTGGGATTTATTCCAGGTATGTAAGGCTGATTCAACACTAGCATATCAATGTGATCTACCATATCAACAAGGCTTAAAAAAAAAAAAATCATACAATCATAAAGAGCAGAAAAATCATCTAACAAAATGCAACATCATTCATGATAAAAATTCTCAGCAAAGTAGGAATAGAGGAAAATTTCCTCAAGTTGAAACAAAAATCTACAAAAACCTGTAATTGCTATCATACTGAATGGTGAGGGAAACTGAATGCTTTTCCCTTATCATTGGGAATGAGGCAAGGATGGCCACTCTTACTACTCCTACTCAAATTTTACTGGAATTCCTAATTCAGTAAGAAAAGGGAATAAGATTGTGTAAGATTGTGGAAGAAGAAATAAAATTTTATTTACGTGACATCATTTCTATATAAAAATTCCGAATCATCACAAAATAAAACAAAGCAGGCAAACAAGCAAACAAAAACTCCTAGAGCTTACTGCACAAAAACAAGGTCTCAGAATACAAAGTTAATAACTCAACAATATATACCATATACCAGCAATGAACAACTAAAATTTGAAATTAAAACATAATTTAACAGTATTTGTTTGGGCCAGATATATACTAAAATTGGAACAATACAGAGAAGATTAGTATAGTCCCTGCTCAAGGATGACATACCAATTTATGAAGTGTTTCATATTTTCCTATGCATGTGTGGGGGCAAGGCGCCTCTGGGAAAACTCTGTACCTTCCTCTCAATTTTGCTGTGGACCTAAAATTGCTCTAAAAAAATAAAGTCTTTAAAAAAATACATAATAAAAAATTTTTTAAAAATACAAAATAATAACATCTTTTAAAGCAACAAAAGAATTGAAATGTTTTGGTACAAATCTAACAAAATATGTACAACTATTCTCTGTAGAAAACCATAAAACTCTGATGAAATAAATCAAAGGAGAAATACCTCATGCTTAATGATTGTTGCAGTCAATACTGTTCAGTTGCCAATTCTTCCCATCTTGACATTTATACTCAATATAATCCCAATCAAAATCCCCGAGAGCTACTCTGTAGACTGACAAACATATTCTGGAGAATGTAGAGAAAGGCACAGAAGACCCAGAACAGATAACACAATACTGAAGAACTAAATTTTGGATGTCTCACAGTAATCTGATTTCAAGACTTATTATAAAGCTACAATAATCAAGGTAGTAAGTACTGATGGAAAAAATAGACACACAGAACAGTGGAACAAAAGAAACAGACCTGAAAGTGATCCACAGAACTGTAGTCAAGTGACTACTGACAAAGGAGCAAAGACAATTCAGTGAAGAAGTCTTTTAAACGAATAGTGCTCAAACAAATAGATATTCATATGCCACAAAAGAAAAAAAAGAGAAAAGAACGAGACACATCTTTCACAAAAATTAACTCAAAATGGATTTTAGACCTAACATAAAATATAAAACTTACAGAAGAAAATTCAGAAGAAATCAAGAAATCAGTGTGACTTGGGTTTGATGATGAGTTTTTAGATACAATATGAAAAGCATAATCCATGAAATAAAAATTGGTAAGCTGAACTTTCTTAAAATTAAAGACTTCTCCTCTGAAAAGGACACTGTTCAGAGAGGAAGAGACAAATCACAGAAAAGGAGAGAATATCTGTAAAACATATATCTGATAAAAAACACCTGTGTCCAAAATATACAAAGAACTTTTAAAGCTCAACAGTAAGAAAATCCAATTAAAAAATGGGCAGAAGAAGTTATAAAGATGGCAAATAACCAAAGGAAAAAAAAATGTTCTATATCATTTGTCATTAGGGAATTGCAAATTAAAACATATCTATTAGAATAACTAAAATCAAAAGAAACAATATACCAATTGATGGTGAGGATGTGAAGGACAAGGTGCTCTCTCATTCATTGCCAGTGGGCATGCAAAAGAGTACAGTTCCTTAGGAGGACAGTTTGGCACTTTCTTACAAAGCTAAACACGGTATTACCATACAACCCAGCAACTGTATTCCTAGGTATTTACCCACCCAAACCTGCACATGAATGTTTATTGAAGCTTTATGCATAGTGGCTAAAACAACCAAGATGCCCTATAAGGGGTGAATGGATAAGCAAGCTGGGGTGTACACATACAAAGGAATATTATTTGGCCATGAAAAGAAATGACCTCACAAACCAGGAAAAGCTATGGATGAACCTAAAATGTATGTTTCTTTTTTTTTTTTTTAAAGATTTTATTTATTTATTTGAGAGAGAGAGAATGAGAGACAGAGAGCATGAGAGGGAGGAGGGTCAGAGGGAGAAGCAGACTCCGGGCTGAGCAGGGAGCCCGATGCGGAACTCGATCCCGGGACTCCAGGATCATGACCTGAGCCGAAGGCAGTCGCTTAACCAACTGAGCCACCCAGGCACCCCTAAAACGTATGTTTCTAAGTGAATGAAGCCAATCTCAAAAGGCTGTGTACTATATGACTCCAATTATAGGACATACTGGAAAAGAAAAAACAAAAAAAACAAAAAAACTAGTGATGAGTTAAAAAAAAAAAAACAGTGGTAGACACAGATTGAGGGGAGGAGGGAAGGTTGAACAGGTGAAGCAGTAGAACACTTTAGGGGGCCGAAACTATTCCGCAGGATGCTGAAATGGTGGATATGTGACACAAATCATTTGTCAACACCCACAGAACTTTATAGCACAAAGAGTGAACTTTAATGTATGTAAACTAAAAATATATATATTATTTAGGAAATGAAAGGTTTCTAAGAATGCTAAATGTGACAAAATATTTTAACTGCATTAAAAGCATATAAAACACCTTTATGAAGTTGAGAGGTAAAATAAATTTAGAGGGGCACCTGAGTGGTTCAGTCATTAAGCGTCTGCCTTCAGCTCAGGTCTGGATCCCAGGGTCCTGGGATCAAGCCCCGCATCCGGCTCCCTGCTCAGTGGGAAGCCTGCTTCTCCCTCTGCCACTCCCCCTGCTTGTGTTCCCTCTCTCGCTGTGTCTCTCTCTGTCAGATAAATAAATAAAATCTTTCAAATAAATTAAAATAAAATAAATTTAGAAATGAGTGAAGCTTGTAAGACTAAAGGCAAAAGAAACTGCACATAGCACTGCTCTAGGGGATAGGCTTATTTCCCAGGAGGAGGGGTGCAGGGATAGGTAATGATTCTGATACACTCTACACGTACACTGGACTCGAGCAATTAAATGGATGGTGGATGATGGAAGCCACCCTTCTTGTGTTGAAGGTTACAGATATGCAAGGGGAAGAGGCTAGAATGAACACTATGGTAATGGATTGGAATCAGAGACATCAGTATCAACTCTTGATTCATTTACTATAGGTACAGGTGGTCACACACGGAAAGATGCACAGATGTGTATACATGCATGGGCTAGTGGTATACATATGTTTCCATGCTCTGTCAGCTGACAGGGCCTGGAAGCAAGGATACACTAGCAGCAAGAAGCAGAACCAGCACCCAGATCTTGGTCTCTCACACCATTCTCCAATAAAAGGAACCGGGGCTCCTTGGAGAAATGGCCGATTCCAGGACTAGAGCAGGAAGTATGCAAGATGATGCTGGAGCTACTTGTAGAACAGAAAGTAAGGATGTACTCAAAAATGAATGAATGAATGAATGAATGACCAATAAAAAAATTATGAGGGTATATGAAAGGAGCAGAGGAGCCAACTGAAAGAACACCCAATGGCCAAAGCTAAAACAATGTGAGTAAAAAGAACAAAGCAGTATTGGATTTTAAACCAATGTATAAAACATATAAATATCCATAAGCCCGCAAATGTAAACAAATGATTGAAATAATAAACAGGAGAGAAGAGAAAAATCTTCCAATAATTTATGTAGATATTCTACCCTTCATGGGGGAAAAAAGTAACTTTAAGTGGGGAAACCCAACAAATACGACCTCAGCCCAGTTACTGAGGCAACACAGCAGCACAAAGTCATGTGGACAGTAGGCACCCCCGACACATGGGATGAAAATGACACTTCACCTTTGTGTTTTTTGTTCCCCAAACCCATAACCCCAGGCTCATCTTGAGAAAAACATCAGACCGATCCAAGATGAGGGACATCCTCAAAGAACCTGACCAGTACTTCTAAAAACTTTAAAGCCGTCAAAAAGATGCAAAATCTAAGACTTTCACCCTTAGGTAACTTGTATTATTCCTTTTGTAAGTATTGTAAATTCGGTCTGTTTTTGTTCATCCGAGGCTATAAAAATTGGCATAGTAAAAGCGGTGGTCAAGAGAAAGGACACTGGAGTCAGACCTGAATTCAATTATTGATTATACCTATTGTCTTAAGTTCTGCTTTCTAGTTAATATTCAAACTAATCAAATCTGAACTTTCCAAGCCAGTTCCTCCAGAGTGAAGTGAGTTACACAACCCATTTCTTAGTGGTACTATGTAGGAAAAATGACGCAGGACACAGAAAGTACCTAGCACATCTCCTACTCAATCAAAATCAACAATTTATGTAGATTTCAATCACTCTCAATTGCAATGACAGACACGATACTTTCTAGTCTTACTCATCTTCTTATCTCCAGGATATATCTAGAACCATCTTCAATATGATTAGAGAAGATCTACTTCCTATGTGATATTTCAGTTAATCTGTGTTTATTCAAACTAAGGCCAATGCTTCCTTATCTAATACCCCATCCCTGCCATCCAAGGTACTACATGGACCACAAAACATTCAGCATGTTTTCTGAATCTATACATTTAAGTGTTCCATCAAATTGAAAGACATAAATTTATATATTCAAGGAGCTCACAATTCTTTCCCAGCATCATCTACCCTGTTTGGTTATGTGCCCTCTGGGTATATGGGCTCATACTAAACTATCTATTACAGAATTTCAGACAAGTCATTTGATATATGTAGCTCTGGATACTTATCTATGAAAGATCCTTTGAAGAGTCATTCTTAAGTGTTTGAAATTCCATGAGAACTGTGTAAAGCAGCACAGTTGCTTCAGAGGATACTCTGATGAGAGGAAGAAATGGGGGAAAGTAGCAGGCTAACATAAAAATCCCATCAATCTCCAAAGTATCCACTGAATGCTACAAATGAAGTTCAGTGTAAAGTTTAACAGCTGGACTGATAACATGGGGACAAGAAGAGAAAAAAATGTCTGTTAGATGAGACAATGATAATCAATGAGAATTTATTTTTTTTTTACTTGAAAAATTGATTCAAAGTGATAAAATCAGGTTGCCACACTGTTCAGAATGAGGCTAACGGGAAAGAAGGATCACCCATCTGAACAGAAAGCTTGGAAGCAGACGAAGCATTGTGATGGTCATGGTTCTTTCTGTTTGCATTCTTCAGCAGCGAGACCCTGGTTCCTGGTTTGAAACGCAGATATGGAAATAATCCAGAAAGGTCTGTGAACAGGTACTTTCACTGCTTTGAATGAATGACTGATTCATCAGGAACTAATAATTATTTATAGATTGGCAGAGGTTTTAGGATGTGATGAAAAAGTATGTGCTCTGAGTTCCAACATTCCCATACTCAAATCTGCTCTGTCACTTGGTTGCCAAGCCTCAGTTTTCTACCTGTAAAATGGTCTCAATAATACCTAGCTCTTGCAGACAGTCGTGAGGGTTACACACAGGATGTATAAAGTGCCTAACCTAA